ATCGAAGCAGGATTGCCGCCTGGGAAAGACTGTTGAATTGTGCGAAGAAATCCTCGGCTCATCGTCTTGTGACCCCGATTAAACTGTGTTAAACTTCCGACTGTACTGTGACAGACTTCATCAGAGAAAGATTCCATACTTTACGAAATAAAGCTAAAATATACTAAACCAAGATAAAAGGTGGCCCGCTGCAACCCTAATCGCTTTTTTATACACCTAAAATCGAGATCATAATGAGGCATGCCATGATTTGATTGGCTAATTCAACCGGACTTTACATGCTTGCAAATGAGTGAAGTTAACTTCCCGAAAAGGAAGTGCGTTCAGTGGCAGCTGCTTCATCACACAAAAACTAACGCACCATCGCCTAAAGCTTGTGCTAATCTCTATTGTGCGTAGGTAATGCTCATATCATGGGAATTCCTAACTAGACCCGAGGCTAATCCAGCCTCCTTCTCTAGCCCAGTGGCTTTTTGTGTTCCCCCTCTCTCTCCCTTTCCTTAAGTCTATCCAACAGCCACAAATAGTTGCTACTTAGTTTTCTACACTCGTTCCTTCTATTTAGGACGTTAGCTGTTTTCTTAATTTCTATATATTCCATAATCATACGCTTTAGCGGCAAGCTCCCGTAACCAGCAAAACGTGCTTTGGACAAATCTATTAAGGGTCCTGTATTGGCCATGTGTTCAGATAGCTCAGATTTTATGACCCACAAACCTTTAAAAGCGGTTTTGTGTTTGCATAGTCTCTCCACATATACCTTACCACATCACAAAACCTTGTATCAGCCTGATCTAGAAAGAGGATCTGAATATTCTCTAAGCAAAGAAACTATTGAGGCAAGTATTAATTTATCCTTATGCATTGTTTTTGTGCTCCATTTTCTAAGTAGTTTACCCAACTTTTCGCAAGATGACAGAAAGGCCAAATCAGGAATCGAGTAGAATTGCCCAGTTTTCTATCCCGCACCTGATAGCAAACTCCTCTAATCTTGTTAACCACAATTGATATTTAATTATCTACTAATCCTAATGGGTAATTGTTTTGAAACAGTATATCCCTCGAACTACCAATCCCCTGGCCTCTATTGTTTGAGTCTACTAGACGCAGACTCCTTATTATCATAGACTTCATAATTCCTATTTTTTACTCTATATGTATGGTTCGATAAAAAATTAATAAGGAAACTAATGCATCAAAAAGGCAATTTATTTTCCTTTTCTAACTCCATGGTATACATAGTATTTGCATCTATTCTATGTATTAACTCAAGGGATTCCCCCAAAATATTTTTGTCGCGTTGCCAAACAGCAAAGTAATCGTTCATATAACGAACCAATAACTTGGGAACTAGGATTGTCTCTTGAAACATGTGAACTTCTAATTGGGTCATGCATTTTGCCTGGTTTGCCTCTAACTTCACATCTGCTCTGTGATTCACTGACATCCTTGGCTGTGGAATGGAGTGGTAAGCGTCACTATGATGCTCAGGACCCGGGATCGATTCTCGATGAAGGTGTGGATATGACCTAGTAGAAGTCTAAATCGCAGTCCAGCCTGGATAAAATAAGCTCTTAGGAGGCAAGGGTAAGCGAAATTCAATGACATACTAAGGCCTAAGCATTTTAGGAAAAATATTAATTATCCATTCTTCAACCACTCTAAATGATCTATACTGATTAGGATCTTATTTATTCTTATTAAACATGACTGGCCGACAAGTGACCTGAGCTCGGACAGACGAATAGGGCTCGTGTATCCCATTTTTGGTATCATATTTGTTAGCTGTACTCACCTGTCCACCCCGATTATAGACGGTCGCTGGCAGTTAAAGAAGAAGATGAGGGGGAAGAAGAGGACGAATGTCAGGTTTATGCACGCGGTGAAGAGCACTTTGCCTTTGAGCTTCATCTGCCAGAAGTGACCCAAAAGACCACTGAGAAAATGTCCTAGTGTCCCGGCCAGAGCTAGGGCCGTGCCTGAATTCGAGAGAGTTGGATTTGTGTCGATTTCGAGATTGAGGTGAAGGGAAATAGGCAGGAGAGTTGTGAACACGAAATTGACAGTTATTTTCAGGAAGTATGCATTTTTCAAGAAGGGAGTAAAATAACGCTTATTAGGCGTTGATGTCAGATAACGGTTCAACAAAACAGCACAAGATGGGAACGAAAAGAGGATATAAAAACAAGGGAAAAATATTAAATATACAAACATGGTTTGAATGTCCAGTGTTGATAAAACTCAATCAATTTTAGGTAGAGATACATTTCTGAGGCTAAACCCACATTCTTCTAGTTCAAATAATAATACTCATTACGAACAATCTTTAACCCGCTCTCTTCTTTCCATTTACCAATTCCTCCTGCGTCTAATAATCCGGCTATTCTTGCGAATTTTTCCTCTAATTTTCCCCCTTTTAAAGTATCTCCTTTTTGTGCTTTTAAATCCTATTCACTACCTATTCTACCATAATACATAATCATTTCATACTCTTCCAAAGCGTATGCCAGACCGTTAGGTTGATCTTTAGCAAAATTTGCCCACCTCAGGCTTCCCCAAACTTCATAGTTCCTTCATACTCCCTCAATGTACTCTAACTTAACTTTGACCCTCCGCTGCGTTGCACCTAAATGTCCCAGGATAAATCTTGATTTATCTTATAAGCCGTCTTCCGAGTTATGGGTTTCGCTAACGGGTTCTTGGGAGTTGCATAGCATTCAACTTTAGGCTCAAATAAATAAAGAATATGATAGAGAAATTTTTCACCTCCGAGAGACTCACCCGAATAAGTAGAAGCTTTACTCGGTGTGATTCGGAAGTAGAATTCCAATATCTTGATGAAGAACGGAGACAGGAGAATGACACCAAACATCTCACAGACCAGAGCTGTAACCATCAGTACATAGGTGGGCCTGGCGAAGAGTCGTTTTAGCGTAAAAAGTATGGCTTGTTTGGGCAAAAAGGGAAATCTATGATAAAAATCGTAGCATCTGCAGTAATCCATGTCGGATACGACAAATAAGGTTGAGAAAAAGAGATTCAAGAAAATGCATCATGGAAACACTACTTCAAAGAAATTTATTTGACAAATAAATCGTCAAAGATATGAAGACCAGGTAGCCCCGGTATGGCCGCAGTCCACGGTCTGATGCTGGGATTTATCATAACTACTATGACAGAGAACTTCGGATGAGGTGCATTCTACTAAGTCACCCTGACAACAAGAATAAGTTGCGACAATGAGGTGAACCCCCTTAAATAAATTGTCAATTCGTGATACATTTAACGAGGCCAAATCTGACAAAGTTGAACCTTCAGCCCAAACCAACTGACTAAATTCGACAATAATTGGATGTAAAATAATAAATTTGATGGAATCCTACTAGTTCTCACGCACAATTCTAAAAACTTATCCCAATCACTTGAAGCAGTGATTTCCGAACTGTGCACCACGGCGCCTCGGGGAGCCGCGGCCTCTTTACAGGGGCACTGCGAAATATTGTAAAAGATTTAATTTAAGAAAATGTGTAGTGATTTGCAGGCTCATCCATCATATTATTTATTAAATATTAATTTAATATTAATAAAGTAAAAAAAATAATGAAGATACACGAGTTTTATTTTTTTTTATCTCTTACTTAGGAATAGACATATTTAGGGTAGGGCGCCATGGAAAAATTTTAATTGAAAAAGGGCGCTGCGACTAGGAAAAGTTTCGGAACCACTGACTTAAGTTAACAGCCCTGCAAATAGATTGATCCATTTGCTTCTTTACATAATAAATTCGATTGTATTAGCCCACAGAAATCACTATACAAACGCAGCTTTACATTCATAAAACGTGGATTATCGCAGAGTAAAGGTGAAGAAACGGTAATCAAGCCTATGAAACATGAAACCAAATCATTTAAAGATGGAAATCCCAATACTTTCTAGTACAGTCAGCTAAAATCTTGGCTTAAACAATGGAAATAAATCTAATCTTACGGAAAGAGACCTTTCCCGATAAAAGAAACTCTAAAATCAGACAATATAATTTCTTAGAGACGGTCAATTTAACGAGGGCCCTTGAAATGTGAATGTCCTAGAATGTTGTTCAGAAAGTGAAAGTCCAGTAGATGGTTGGAGGAAAATTATCAATTAGCATGTGTACGCAAATTTGATAGAAGATTCCTCTTTGGAGCAGATTCACAAAGCTGATGAAACTTCTAGTTCGGTAAGACTTCTGCTTATTTGTTATTAGAAATTCGCATACAAATATTTTTCCGATACTAACAAATAGTATTGAGTAGATTTTTCGAGACTGCCTTCAAATAAGATATATGAGTTGTGTTTACTATATTTCATTTAGGGTGATGAAGGACTGGAAGTTAACGCAAATAGTTATAACAAATATAAGTTTGCCTCATTGACAATCTAAACACAGAATGTGGTATGGAAAATGTCTGACCTTCCTTGAAATTCATACCTGCCCTGTGACCCAAAGGCAGTCGCGGCAATATTGCATGGTGGTTTACGTGACGAAATGACACACTGAACTGTCATGGTTCGACTCTCCATGAGGGTGTTCATAAGACCTAGGTGAGGTCGAAACTGCAGTCCGCTTTAGCCTGGATGACAACATCTTTTGGGAAAGCTAGGCTATACGAAATTCAACGGAAAACTCAGCTCTGATCACATCATCGTGGGAAAATTCAACTTTCAGTCTTTCATTACCTTAAACGAAACAGGGTAAACACAACTCGGCTCTAGTGTATATGCGATCGTGTCGAGGGTATGGATATAAGTTAAGCGGGATCAAGACGGCCATCCATACCTAAAAATAAAGCCGGTCTTGAAGGTGTGATACAAAGTCCATTTTAACGGAATGCTGGGTCCTCTTTGTTAAGTATAATCGCCCACTGCTTAAATGTTTAGCTTGGATTAATGATGAATTTAGAAACAAAAACTTCACGAGCCCAATTGATGATAAAATAAGAACCCAAAAACCCCTTCTAGGACTAGCTGTTCAACCTCCAAGGTTTAGTATGTTGAAGATCGAGTAGACCCTGATCTTCAAGCCACTCACCTGCTATTCCAAAACGCTTCGGCTCCACCACTGGCGCCTTGGTAATCTCATTCTCTCGACCAACTAAATTGGAATGGGAGACAGCAGAAACCTCATTAGATGATGTAAACAAGCCGGTGGCTCCAATGGTGGTCTGCCTTCGCCTGGCCAGTTGGGCAGAACGACCGTCTGCATCGGAGTCAGAAAAGGTCAGACGACTCTGAAGACAAAGTGACATCACGAAACTGACTGATTGGCACAAAAGCATAAGTTCTTTCGTTTAAATACTTTAGAATATTGGCTCATCTTTGTATACAACATCAAAGGATACTAAGGAATCTCCAAAACATTCGACAACAAGCAGACTTGGATGAAATGCAATCCTCCTTAATGCCTTCGGTACAACCAATTTACGAAGCCTTTCCATTCGCCGTTCCAAACGAGATGAATGGTAAAACAAAATAAATTTATTTTTTTTAAGTAGGATTTAAATAGTAACAGTAGATCTTGAGTAAGAGCTTTAATCATTCTGGTTCGTCTAAAGAGGTGGTGAACTGATAGTGAATTTTCTCGCAATGCAAAGCCTTGCTTATGGGAAAATTCACTATCACTTCTTTATCATCCTAAACAACCTAGGATGATTAAAACTCTTATGTAAAATTAATTTAATTTACATTTATTACTCATTCATTTCATATTATTTACGTATTAGCGATAGTATTAATTTATTATAGATAAATTAAATGCAAATAACTGCTTACCGGCACGATATATATATATATATATGGGTATATGTGTTGATGCTTTCGTAAGGTAACTTAAGCAAAAGTGAGAGCTCCAAATACTTTAGGAAAAGCCTAATATTTAATGATATGTAGCGAAAGTATAACTATAATTAGGGCTATAAGCGAAAAAACTGTTTGCATAGGATCAAATGCTTCTTTATTCATGAGACTATCTATTAAGCATATGTAGGAATTTTTTTAATATTCTTATAATTCGTTCAGATATTTAAAATATTTCCAAATTTGTTGATTTAGATGGCCTCTTGACTTTTGCGTTTAGCAGCAGACAGGCAAGAATGGGCAAAATGACAAGCTTGAGATCTTTTTTTCTGATGTTTAGTTTACAAAATATGGTCATATACCTGCGACGACCGCATTAAAAAAGGCTTTATATGCATTTTTGTTCAGCTTCCCTTCGAAAAAATCAGCATGGCTGGAGCAAAAAATAAATGAGTTATGTGAGGATGCAACTTTTCGGTATACGGAATAATTGAGGATTAGGCGAGATTGCAACCAGCCATATCTTACAGAAGCATCAATCCCAACCATAGCACCTAGTTTAGCAATCTATCTTGTTTTTTCAAAATTTTATATAATTAAGAGATCATCCGAAGAATT